TCTACCCTGAACTAATACACTTGATATGGCTCTTCAAGCCACAGTCCTCAATATCTCCCACCAAATAAGATGCAAATAGGGCGTACAGAGCTGTGACGAAAGGACTGGTCTGTTTTGCCATCCTGGGTTTTCAATGGCCCATCTCAGAAGCAAGAATGGGGATCTTCCTACCATGAAGAAAGAAGAGCCAGGAGTGGAGCACATCCTTGGTTCCCCAAATTCCTACACACTAAAGCCCCTAAGTCCAGGAGACAGAGCTGTGGCACCAAAGGAGCAGCAGAGGCATTTCAGAGGGGTGAGCACAAGACAGAGCAGTGGACTTCTCAGCCCATACAGTGGGTAGCTGAGTGGCTTCACACCGGAAGCACACTTGAGGCGCAGGATGCCCCCAGGCTCTTAATCAGGGGAGCCAGACTTGCCAAATGACGCAATGGAACTGGAGCTGAGTGCCTCTGGCGGAGGCTTACGTAGGGCTGAGTGAACTGCTTTGGGGCATTTATCAGTAGTGCTAACAAAGTTTTGCAATAACGCCCTGCAGAGAAGAGCCCAAGGTTCAGAGACATGCATGCCTATGGGCGCTGGTAAAAAGAGGCTGTCCTGACCAAAGAGTGATATCCTGAGCTTCGCTGGTCCTAAATAATCACCTGTTAACTTCCTCATCTTATCTTCGGTAGTGTCTGTGAGCCGTATATGGCCATTGCAAACCCAGCAGAGAAAGAGAGCGCACCCTGGGAAGAAGGGTTGGTGTCGGAAGGGGTAGGTAGAGAAGGCCAAACGGTGACTTCTGTCTCATAGGAGTTGGCCTTGGGCTGGTGCTGAGCTTGATTTTCCCTCACCCCCACCCGCCACTCCTTGTGACCTCAGAGGAGGCCAGACGTTTCCACAGCTGCCCCTGCGCCCGGAATCTTCCCAGCTCAGGTGTCGCACACAGGAGTGGGTAAGCATGCAGAGCATTTCAGCCCCAGGTGAGCAGAAACAGACTACCCCTCTGCCCCTGCCTGCATTCCTAGCCCACAGAAACTGAGAGAGAGAAGCCATTCTTGGGTTCTAGCCACTGCATCGGCGGGCCATTTGTTTTGCAGCAATCCACAGCTATTGCATAGGCTTCCAAATCAGATAGACCTGGTTGAAATCCTGGTTCTGCCACTTAACGGCTGCATGACCATGGACAACTAATTTAACCTCTCTGGCTTCTCAATTTCCTCATCTGTAAAATAGAAATAATAAAAATATCTGTGATAGGCAAGTTTATTGTGCCAACCTGGCCAATAGGAACACATGGGATTAATCAGAACACAGTTTGATCAGAGGGCAAAGAGATAAATGGCTCAGCAAGCCCCATCCCTCTCTCTCTTGCTCTCTGGTGATCAGACCAGCATGCGGCAGCTTTAGTTAGTTCTCTGTCTCAACTTGTGAGCTACACTACCTGTGGGACTGCCAACCCGTGGATCGTGTTACCAGAGCTTGAGGTTCCTTTGAGACCTGCTTCGCCACGCTGCTGGTGTATACATCACCTGAGCTTGAGGCTGTCAGATCCTGTTGTCTTGCATTGCTTGAGTTCGATATCCCATCGGAACCTGATTCACTGAGCTCCTGAGCTGCTGTCTGTTGGTTACCAGCCCTGCTGGTTGCTGCCTGTGGCAGGACTGCCTGCATTGCCCAAGGGAAGACTCAGCTGTCTGCTTCCTTGACCTTGGACCCAGCAGCCCTGATGAATTGAAGGACTTCCAGTATATTAACTGTTCCACAGTGAGTTGAACTGAGCCCGCTGTACTGCTGTGTGGACTAATTAGCTGTTATATCCCTTCATGCTGTATTTATCTATCCATATAGATATAGATCCATATATATGGATATATCCAGATATATATCCATATATTATATATATATAAAACCACAAGTGTCCTGGTTTCGTTTCTCTAGAGAACCCTAACACAGTACCTATTCAAAAGATCACCAAGAGGTTCTCATGAAAATGTGAACTACATAATGGCGGTGACTTTTGTCTGTGTTGCTCACTATTAAAACTCAACATCCCGCAGAGTGCCTGACTCATCACTGGTAATTTTTAAAGTGTGAAGTGAATAAGTACATGTACAATACTTAGCATTGTGCCCAGCGCATAGCAAGTACTCAGTAAATACTAGGGACTGTTATCAAGGGTATTGATGACAGCGCTTAATAAAGAAGTTGGCATATACTGTTTGGAAAATTGTTTAAGTCAATTAGGCCCTTTTAAATACCTATCTTGAGAATTTAGAATCCAGGCAATGGTGACAGGAAAAAAACACATCAGTCCAGCTTAAAAGAAAGATCCGACACTGTTGGATGCTTCTTCAGTATGGAACAATCATTGCCACAGATATGTACACACCGAGAATTCCCATTTACACAAATGAACAATGATGAACTAGCTGGAAATGGCCAATGACGGCTACAGGCAGGCAAATACAAGTCTATAATGATGGCAACATGGGGCTGCTGACCACAAGGGCCGTGGTTCAAACCCACTAACCGCTGCAGAGGAGAGAGATGAGACTGGCTGCTCCAATAGAAGATTTGGTCTCAGAAACCCCATATAAAGTTGCTATCAGTCAAAACTGGCTCGATGGATATGAGTTTGGTTTGGCCATTCTGAAAATGTTCATTTATGATTAAAAACAAAACCAAGGTAAACACTGATGGATAGAGGGTACCTGAGAGAGAGAGAAAGAGAGAGGGAGGGAAGGGAAAGGGAGGAGGAAGCTCAAGGGGTTCGGAGGAACCAGAAATGTTCTATTTCTTTCTTACACTGCATAACTTTTCTTGTGACGGGAGAGAAGGTCTGCAGCGCAGATCACCAGCTGGACAGTTTTGTTTCGTCTCGTGGATTGCACTCCCTCCATGGAACTCCCTGTGCTTCCTCCCTGTGCTTCCTCCTTTCCTAACTCGCAGTGTATTCCTTGAGTAAATATTCGCCTCTTGATCTCAAGCAGTTGACCATTCAAAGGCATGCATTTCACTAGCATGGTTATTTTCTTTATAGAATTGGTGCTGTTTAGATGAAAATTGAGCCACTGGGGTAAGTTCAGGAAAAGTTCTATTTCTTGACATGGGTGGAAGCTACAAAGATGTGTTCACATTGTAAAAATCCATCAAACTGTACCCTGACGCTGTGTGTACTTTTGTGTCTCAGTGTCATATCTTAATTAAAATAACTTAAATAAATATACACGTGCAAAATAAATTACCTGCACTCCAATCTTCTTTTCAAGGTAGGGGCCCTTAATCCTTTCATGTGATCTGAAAACAAAGAGTCAACAATCATACACCCATGTTGTTTCTTCCTTTCCCACAAGGAAGCTGAGCCACGTGTTCTTGAAACTTCCTTTAAAGAGAAGATACAGGAGGGGTAGACAGACTCCTCTGTGCTACTAGCTCTTCTGCAGGTGAAGAATCTGTCCTGAGACCAGGCCCGGAACCAGAAGCTGACCTTTTCTGAGTCATCAAAAGCAAGGTCCAAAGAGCATGGCCTCCTGCATCTTAGGGCCAGATCGAAAGCACTCCGAGCAGCCGGACTCCGTCACGCTCTCCATCAGTTCAAGCACCCCATGCCTCAGACCATGCTCTGTGTGACCTGTCCAACCCAGGCGGAGGGTCAAGAGTACCTGCACAGAAGCTGCCAAGGACAAGGGTTTCTTTACCTCCTCGCCCTACTGTGACTGCTTGGTTGAAAAGTGAGATCTTGCACCTGCACATGCTTGCTTCTGACCTCTCCAAAGAAAGGGGGTGAGGATGGTGGGAAGGGACAGGAAGAGAAGATATAGAGAGGGCATTGATATCAAGTATTAGACTAAATGGCTAGTACGTTTTCACATGTCCTGAATCTTAGCACTCAAAGGCTCAGATAATAATAACCAAATATTTCTAAATTGTTCAGTCAAGGCAAATTCATTCTAACTGTTCTATCCACCCTGATCCCCCCCACCCCCACCCCCAGATACCTGTACCCTTAATTTACAGGTGGGGGGAGTCTAAGTCCAGGCAACAAACACCAGGGCATAGCTGACTGGACATGGACCTGGACCAGACATGGGAAGTGACCCTCGGGTCCCTTCTCGTCCGGCCTTGTAAGGGCCTGTGGGCAGGTGCCAGCGCAGGACACTAAGCGATCAGGCTTCTGAAGAGTTTGTGCCACTGCAGAAAGAGATCTGGAACCGGGGCGTTTCTATCAGGATCCCATTGCCACCAGCCCAGACCCCTTCCTCACTGGTGGTCCAGAGACCATGCGTGTGGAGCCAAAACTGTATCCAGTCCAACTGCCAGGTCCCTTTCTCTTCCTTCGGTCAGAACAAGTGACCAAGCTGCCAGCCCCTGGCTCATCCTTGGGGGCCAATATCTCAGACCATGGACTCCCTCTGGCCGTCCAGGCCTCCCCAGCCCTTGTAAAACCAACCCTGTATGACCCTCTCAGGAGCCCCGGTGACAGACGTGGCCGCTAAACAGGAAGCAGCCGCTAAACACTCAAGGTGCCAACAGAAAGGCTGGCCATTTGCAGCTACCAAGCAGTTCCACTGAAGAAAGATGTATCAGTTTGTTCCATAAAGATTTCAACCTTGAGAGTGACCATGAATTCTCCCAGGATCCACCGCTCTTCCGCTTCCTATAGCAGCCAGAGGTGATCTGCCAAAATTAGCTCGCTACTCACTTGACCTAGAAAACGCCCAAAATTCATGCAAATCCAGAGGGTCACATCTCTGGGTCCATTTTAAGAACACCTGTGAAACTGCCCAGGCCATCAAGGGTCTGCATATCTGGAAAGCCACCGGATATTTGAAAAACGTCACTTTGCAGAAGCAGTGTGTGCCCTTCCGACATTACAGTGGTGGAGTCAGTAGGTGTTCCCCTGTCAGTGGGGTTGGACCCAGGGTTGGTGGCCCCAAAAGAGTGCTGAGTTTTTGAGGCATGTGCTTAAAAATGCAGAGAGGATCGCTGAACTGAAGGGGTCGCTGTGGATTCTCTGGTCCCTGAGCACACCCAGGTGAACAAAGCCCCAAGATGCGCTGCAAGACTTACAGAGCTGATGGTCCGCTCAACCCACTCCTCAGCTCCCCCTGCCACACTGAGACAATCCAGACTGAAGAAACAAAACAAAAAAAATCCCCAAATTGTCCCTAAACCAGAAGACGAGGTAGCACAGAAGAAAAAGATCTCCCAGAAGAAACTGAAGAAGCCAAAACTTATGGCTCGGGAGTAAATGAAGCTTAAAATAAAAGTTAAAGCAAAAAGATTCCAACCGTGGAAACGCTATGAGCAGGTCTACTCTGCTCTACAGGCCTGCTGTGAGTCAGCATTAACAAAACAGCTATAGACTTCGATGGAGCACCAGACTCCAGAGAGTCCTTAAATGGGCTTCCAGAGGAAGGGGGGCACCTAGAGCCTACCCTAAATTATATAAAAATGTGCTATTCATGCATATGTGTGAACTTTTTTCCAGCAAGAGTCCACAGATTTTGTAATATACTCAAAGCAGTCTGTGTCCAAAAAAGCTAAAAGCCAGTAGTAGGAAACAGTGTGGGAAATCCATA